CACATATTTGTCCTCATCCCCCCATTCCCATCCCAAACCCCTCCCCACGCATGCCCCCAATGCCCAGTTGTCCATGACCACTGCTTAGGCTCACATGCATGCACACAAGTCTTTTGGTTGATCTCTCACCCTTACCCCCACCCTCCTCTACCTTCCCTCTGAGGTCCGACAGTCTGATGATGCTTCCCTGACTCCGGGTCTGTTCTTGTTCATCAGTCTATGTTGTTCATCATTTCCTCTAGATGAGTGAGATCATGTGCTATTAGAAATACACTTATAAGAACCAAAATTGAGACAAGCAATAATGGTTATGCTGAGAGGCAAATGAATCAGTCTGTAGTGACTTTCATTCTGGGCCAACAGTTCTTTTGAGTTCCAATTTCTATATCAAACAGTTCCTTATGTATACATGTCAGCAATGATATTTCATTTCTGGATGGTGGGCAAATGGTGGTAATGCAGGTGATGATGATTATTCGATTATTATTCTAATACTTTTTATCTTTATGGTAAAACTTAGGGGCAAGTTTATAGAAACAGAAATATCGATACTAAAAAGTTATTTCAGATTTTGCTTCTTTGTTGTAATCATTATTCTTCAGTGTGTTGCAGATCAGAGTTTTTCCTTATGAAAGTGACCCTGAAAACTACTGTAAGCTTTTTGCTGTGTAAAAAGATTGAATGATGGTTGCCAGATAGAAAGGAAGTTCGGAAGAATAGGTGCAAAAGGGAAAGGGATTAAGATATGCAAACTTCCAGTTATTAAAATTGTCACTGGGATGTAAGATACAGCATGGAAAATACAGTCCATAATATTGTTATAACTGTGTATGGTGTCTGATGGGTAGTGCTCTTATCAAGCTGATCACTTTTAAAGTTATATAATTGCCTAATCACTATGTTGCATACATGAAACTAATATAATATTGTATATTAATGTAATTGAAAATTTAAAATTATTTTTAAATCTTTAAGAAAAAGAAAAATATTAAACACATCTTTATAAGAATATACATAATATCATAAATAAAATGTATGTTACTAAACAAAAACTAATAAATAAAACATTATATTATTTTTGAAAACTCAAGTATCTTATACTTGTATTTAGCAGGATATTTGATTAGACATTCTTAGAGTCTCTGTCTTTTTTGTAATTTTTTTATTGATTAAGGTATTACATATGAGTACTCATCCCCCCATCATCCCCCTACCCCTCCACTCATGCCCTCACACACCCGCCCTGTTGTCTGTGTCCATTGGTTAGGCTCATAGGGATGCATATAAGTCCTTTGGTTGATCTCTCCCCCTTACCCCTTATAAGCTATTTTGTGACTGCCTGTCTTGACTCCATTGCTTCCCTCTTAGGTTTCATATTCTAATTGATGCTTGCCTGTCTCTGGATCTATTTTTGTTCATCAGTTTATGTTATTCATTAAATGAGTGAGATCATGAGATAATTATCTTTCTCTGACTGGCTTATTTCACTTAGCATAATTGTCTACAGTTCCATCCATGCTGTTGCAAAGGGTAAGAATTTATTCTTTTTTACTGCAGTGTAGTATTCCATTGTGTAGATGTACCACAGTTTTCTAATCCACTTATCTGCTGATGGGCACATAGGCTGTTTCCAAATATTAGCTATTGTACATTGTGCTGCTATGAACATAGGAGTGCATATATCTTTTCTGATTGGTGTTCCTAGCTTCTTGGGATATGTAGAAGTGGGATCACTGTGTCAAATGATAGTTCCATTTTTAGTTTTTTGAGGAAACTCCATTACTGTTCTCCACAGTGGCTGCACCAAACTACATTCCCACCAGCAGTGAACAAGGCTTCCTTTTTATACGCATCCTTGCCAGCACTTGTCCTTTGTTGATTTGTTTATGATAGCCATTCTGACAGGTGTGAGATAGTACCACATAGTCCTTTTGATTCTCACCTCTCAGATAGTGACTTTAACATGTTTACATATGTCTCTTGACCTTCCTTCTGTCTTTTTTTGAAAAGTGTCTATTTAGGTCCATTGCCCATTTTTTTATTGGACCATTTATCTTCCTTTTGTTAAGTTGTATGAGTTCCCTGTAAACGTTGGAGATTAAATCCTTATCTAAATTATCATTGGAAAATATGTTCTCCCATGCAGTGTGCTTTCTAATTGTTTTGCTGATAGTTTCCTTTGCTGTGCAAAAGCTTTTTATTTTGATGTAGTCCCATTTGTTTATATTCTCTTTAGTTTCCATTGTTCTATGAGCAGTATCAGTAAAGACATATGCTTTGGCATATGTCTGAGATTTCACTTCCTGTGTATTCCTCCAGTATTTTTATGGTTTCCAGGCTTGTGTTTAAATCCTTTATCCATTTTGAGTTTATTTTTGTGTATGGTGAAAGTTGGTGATCTAGTTTCATTTTTTTGCATGTATCTGTCCAATTTTCCCAACACCATTTGTTGAAGAAAGTGTCTTGACTCCATTGTATGTTCATGCATCCTTTGTCAAATATTAACTGAGCATAGTGGTTTGGGTCAATTTCTGGGTTCTCTGTTCTATTTCATTGACCTATATGTCTGTTTTGTGCGAGCACCAGGCTGTTTTGAGAATAGTGGCTTTGTAGTGTAGCTTGATATCTGGTATTGAGATATCTGGTATTGAGATCTCACCTACTTTGTTCTTCTTTCTCAGGATTGATGCAGCTATTTGGGGTATAATTTTATTCCAGATGAATTTTTGGAAAGTTCGTTGTAGGTCTGTGAAGTATGCCATTGGTATTTTAATGGCGAGTGCATTGAATCTATAGATTGTTTTGGGTAGTACGGACATTTTGATTACGTTTATTATACCAATCCATGAAGACGGTATCTTCTTCCATCTGTTTATGTCTTCCTCTATCTCCTTTTTTAGTGTCCTGTAGTTTTCCATGTATAGATCTTTCACCACCTTAGTTAAGTTTATTACTATTACTAACTAATAGTTATCTTAATTGTTTTGTGGAATGATGGTAATTGAGATTGCTTTTTCAGTCTCTCTGTAAGTTCACTATTAGTGTATACAAATGCCATAGATTTTTTGGCATTAATTTTGTATCCTGCTACATTGCCAAATTCATTTATTAAGTCTAATAATTTTTGATGGGGTCTTTATGGTTTTCTATGTACAGTATCATGTCATCTGTTAATAAGGACTGTTTTACTTCTTGTTTTCCATTTTGGATGCCTTTTATTTCTTCTTGTCAGATCACAATAGCTAGTACTTCTAGTACTATGTTTAATAGGAGTGGTGAGAGTGGGCATCCCTGTCTTGTTTCTGTTCTTAGGGGAAATGGTTTTAGTTTTTGCCCATTGAGTATGATGTTGGCCATGGGTTTGTCATATACGGCTTTTATTATGTTGAGGTATGATCCTTCTATTCCCACCTTGCCAAGAGTTCTTATCAAGAAAGTGTGTTGGCTTTTGTCAAATGCTTTTTCCACGTCAATTTGTATGACTATGTGATTTTCATCTATCAATTTATTTATGGGATGTATCACATTTATTGATTTACGGATATTGTACCATCCTTGCATCCCCAGGGTAAATCTGACTTGGTCATGATGTGTGATCTTTCTGATGTACTGCTGGAGCCGATTTGCTAGAATTTTGTTGAGGATTTTGGCATCTATGTTCCTGAGGGATATGGTCCTGTAATTCTCTTTCATTGTGTTGTCTTTATCTGTTTTGGTGTTAGGCTTCATAGAATGAGCTTGGAAATGTTCCTTCCTCTTGAATTTTTTGGAATATTCTGAGGGGAATTGGTTCTAGTTTTCCTTAAATGTTGGTTAATATCCCCTGTGAAACCATCTGGCCCTGGACTTTTGTTTGCTGGAAGCTTTTTCATGACTGCTTCAATTTATTCCATAGTTATCAGCCTATTGAGGTTTTTAGAATCTTCCTCATTGGTTTTTGGAAGGTTGCATTTTTCTAGGAATATGTCCATTTTCTTCAGGTTGTCTAGTTTGTTAGAATAGAGTTGTTCGTAGTATTTTTAAAACAATTTTTGTATTTCTGTGGAGTCTGTTGTTATTTCGCCTCTTTTATTTCTGATTTTGTTCATTTGGGTCCTCTCTCTTTGCTTCTTGGTGAGCCTGGTTAGAGATTCATCAATCTTGTTTATCCTTTCAAAGAACCGGCTCTTGGTTTCCTTGAACTTTTGCATTGCTTTTTGGTCTCCATGCCATTTATTTCTGCTCTGATCTTTATTATCTCCTTCCTTCTGCTCACTCTGGGCTTTTCTTGTTGCTCTCTTTCTAATTCTTTGAGTTGTAGTGTTAAATTATTTATTAATATTTTTTCTTGTTTTTTGAAGTAGGCCTGTAGCGCTATAAACTTCCCTCACAGGACTGCTTTCATTGTGTCCCATAGATTTTGAATTATTTTGTTTTTATTGTCATTAGTTTCCAGGATGTTTTTAATGTCATATTTGATATCTTTGGTAACCCAATAATTGTTGAATAGCATGCTATTCAGCTTCTAAGTGTTTGAATTTTTTTTAAATTGTTTTTGTTGTAGTTTATTTCTACTATTATGCCATTGTGGTCTGAGAAGATGCTTGGTATGATTTCAATCTTCTTAAATTTGGGGAGACTTTACTTGTGATCCAATATGTGGTCTATTTTTTAAAATGTTCCAGGTGCACTTGAGAAGAACATATATTTTGTGGCTTTGGGGTGAAATGTTCTGAAGATGTCAATTCAGTCCATCTGATCTAGTGAGTCATTTAGGATTGTTGTTCCTGATTTTTTGTCTAGAGGATTTATCCAGTGGTGTCAGTGGTTTATTCTACCATTGTATTATTGTAGATCTCTCCCTTGATATCTTCCAGAAGCTTTTTTGTTGTTGTTGTTGTTCTGTTGTTTTTGTTTTTGTTTTTTGGTGTTTTTTGTTTGTTTGTTTGTTTTTTATGTATTTGGGTGCTCCTGGATTGGGTGCATATATGTTTATCAAAGTTATATTCTCTTGTTGTATAGATCCTTTTAGTAGTATGAAGTGGCCTTCCATATCTCTTATCATGACCTTCACTTTGAGGTCTATTTTGTCAGATATAAGTATTGCTACCTCAGTTTTTAATTCCCACCTCCGATTTCTATTTGCCTGAAAGATCTTTTTCCATCCCTTCACTTGTTCTGAGGTGGGTCTCTTGTAGTCAGCATATATATGGGTCTTTTTTTTATCCATTCAGCCACTTGATATTTCTTGATTGGAGCACTGAGTTCGTTTATGTTTAAAGTTATTATTGAAAAGGTATTGCTTGGAGCTATAATATTTTTGTTTTGTGTGCCTGTGTTCCTTCTCACCTTTCTATTTCTTCTTTTACACCAGTCCCTTTAGAATTTCTTGCATTACTTGCTTGGTAGTGATAAACTCTCAGCTTTTTTTTTCCCCCTTCAATTTTGAATGACAGCCTTATTGGATAGAGTATTCTTGGATTCAGCCCCTTGCTTTGCATCACTTTGTAAATTTCCTTCCATTCCTTTCTGGTCTGATGTTTTCTGTTGAGAAATCATTTGATAATCTAATGGGCGATCCCTTGTACATAATGTTCTATCTCTTGCAGCCTTTAAGATTCTCTATTTGTCCTGTACATTTGCCATCATAATTATGATGTCTCTTAGTGCGGGTCTTTTTGAGTTCATCTTGTTTGAGAGTTTCTGTGCTTCGTGACTTTTTTCTTCCTAACATTAGAAAAGTTTGCTGACATTATTTATTGGAATAGGTTTTCTAACCCTTGTTCCTCTCCCTGTTGTTCTTGCATCCCTATTATTTGTATGTTGCTTTATTTCATGCTGTCCCATAGCTCCTGTAGGCTTTCCTCCTGTCTTTTAATTTTTTTTCTCCAATTTTTGCAGTTCAGTTTGGGTGTGGTTTGCTTCCCTGTCTTCTAATTACGTCCTCCGCTTCTCCTATTCTACTGTTGAAACTTTCCATGGTGTTTTTTATTGCAGTTATATCGCTCTTCATTTCTTCTTGATTCTTACATATTTTGTTGATTTTTTTCATCCATCCAGTGAACTGTATGACCCTTATTCTGAATTATTTTTCTGACATATCACATGCCTCTGTTCTGCATAGCTGATTTTCTGGCTATTCCTCCTTTTCTTTCTTTTGTGGGTTTCTTTGTCTACCCATTTTTGATCTCATGAACTGATCTAGTTGTTGAGTCATGCAGGGGCTGCTCCTTGAGAGTGGCAGTGGCACCTCTGGTTATGGTTGTTACTCAGTTGGCAGCAGCTCCTCTGCTGGGTGTTGTTCACAGCAGTGGTGGCTCCTCTAGCTGGTGGGGAGAGGCTGCTCACACAGCTTCTGTTTCTCGGATGGGGTGGGCTGTGCGCAGCTGCTGCTACTCAAATGGAAGCAGACTGCTCATGTGGTTGCTATTCCTGGGATGGTGGCTGGCTGCATGTTGCTGCTATTCCTTGGATGGGATGGGCTGCTTGTGAGGCTTTTGCTCCTTGGGCAGGGGCAGGTTGCTTACAGGGCTAATGTTCCTCATAGGGGGGCAGGTTGCTCATGTGGCTGCTGCTCCTCAAATAGGAGTGAGCTGCACATGAAGCTGCTGCTCTTCCTAGGACAGGGGCAGACCGCTCCCCCAGCTGCTTCTTATTGGACATATGCAAGCTAAACGTGGCTGCTACAACTCAGATATGAGCCATCTGCTCATGTGGCTGCTGTTCCTCCGACAGGGGTGGGCAGTCCTTGCAGCTGCTGCTCCTCAAATGGGGGCAGGCTTCTCATGCATCTGCTGTTCCTTGGACGGGAAGTGGTATGCTCACACAGCTGCTGCTACTTGGACAGGGGCAGGGTAAGTGAGGCTGAGGCTCTTTGGCCTTCAGTGATCTTCTCATGGGGCTATTGATCCTTGGACAGGAGCAGGCAGCTCACGTGTCTGCTGCTCATGTGATCACAGTGCCCTGGGCTAAAGCGTTGGTCTGGTCAGAGGGGAGCATGCTTCTGAATTCACAGGTGGCTGGAGACTCTGTGACTTTGGGATCATAGCTAAGGTAGTAGGTCCCTGGCAGGGTGGCTCTAGAGTCCCAGGTGTTATTTGAGGGCACCCGGGATGGAGGCTCTTCTCGGCTCCCAGTTATAGCAGCTCTCCCCTTCAAAAAGGCAAGGCCTCTGAGGAAGACCTGGCCTCCTAGTACTGTTTGCAATGGTAACAGAGGCTGCCTCGTTAGGTGATCTCAGTTAGCCTGTCCCCAAAGGACCTGCAGGATCTAACTTTGCCACACACACACACACACACACACACACACACACATACCACAAGACCACACACTCCTCTTTTCCTCCCTTACTCACTCACACTCTCCCCCTCACTGCCTCCTTATTCCTGCATCTGTAGTTGGGTCTGGGGTGTTATTGACCCATTTATGCACAGAGTTTCCTCTCCACATGTCTGATTATGTGGCTTGCTCTCTAGCACAATGGCCGGACAGGATAAAATTCTCCTGGATAAGACATGACACGAAGGGAACAAAACAGGAATGTACTCAAGACACCAATAACTGCAATATAAGTGACCACCTGAGAAAAGAGAATTAGGAGAGAGAAAATAGAGTACAAATGATATCAAAGACAGAGATAAAGATAAGAGATAAAAGAAAAGAAAAGGAAAACACTACAGAACCAATAGATAAATCCCAAAAATACAGACACCAAACACCCAGCAAACAGTTTGGGGGCAAATCTATAGAGGCTGAGCTTATATACAGAAAATAAAGTTAAGAATTGGATGAATATGGAGAGCATCTCAGTTCAGTATAGAGTAAATAGAAAGGGGATAAGTGGATAAGAAGAAAGAGAATGAGAAGGAAATAATAATATTAATAATAAATTTACAAAAATTAATTTAAAATGGTATAAACATATAAAATAAAATAGAATGATGAAAATATAATGCGGAAAGAAATTGAAAACAAAGCAACACAAAAAAATAAAGAAGAAAGAAAAAGAGAGAGATGACAAAATAATAATTTAAAAAGTAAAAATAAAAATAAAATGGTGAAGTGTCATCTTTTGCCTGGCTTAAGATCCCAGTCTTCTGTTCTGTACTGTTTCTCAGTTTCCTGTTGCTGGGAATGAAGGCCTCTCTTTAGGCCAGTTCCTGTGGACTCTCAGGAACTATTCAGATTTTTTTTAAAACTCCTTTGTACCATTAGGGTGGGATCTGGATGTGGCTGTATTGATTGCCTAGAGACTGGAGAGAGGGGCTATCTCTTCAGGAGAAAATTGCTGCCCAGGTCCCTGGCTCAGGTATGGTTCAGCGCCAGACTCACTGCCACTTTTGGACACTCTCTTCTCCCCAGCCTTTCTCCAAACACCACAAATCTGCACCTTCTCCTGCACCTTAGGTACATGAGTGTCTGTATCCCTAAGAACTAGGTCTAGTCGAAACCGGTTTGGCTCAGTGGTTAAGGGTCGGTCTGCAGACTGAAAGGTCCTAGGTTCGATTCTGGTCAGGGCATGTATGTTGGTTGCGGGCACAACCCCAGTAGGGAGTGTGCAAGAGGCAGCTGGTTGATGTTTCTCTCTCATTGACTTTTCTAGCTATCTATCTCCCTTCCTCTCTGTAAAAGATCAATAAAATATATTTAAAAATAAAAAAATAAAAACTGTTCTTCTTTATTAAAAAAAAAAAAAAAAAGAACTAGGTTTAGTGAAAAAAGCACAGGCCACAAAGAGGGGAAAGACTGGTCCTCTGTGAGCTCAGCTTCTGCTGGCACTGCATGGTCTGGTCAGCCCTTCAGGGTTCCCCCTCTGAGCTCAGCCTTTCATGACAGAGGACCCAAATCTAGAATCCCCTGCCTCCAGCAGTCCTGAGGACCTCCTTTCTGAAGTCAGACATTGAGCCTGTCCCAAGGAACATGGCTCGGTGCCGTGACATTTCCATCTGACCCTCTGGACTCAGAGGTCTGGCAGACTCTCCTGCCCAGATCCTTGAATTTACATTTATCCAGGGGTCCCCGTCCTTCTTGGCTGCAAACTGTCTCACCAGCTCAGTTTCCTTTGCTAATTTGGGGTGGGTGTTATATGTTTCAGCTGCTCATTCTATCTGCTCTAAGACAAAGCTCAGGACAAGTCCATCTATTCTGCTGCCATTTTTTTTTCTCTCTCTAAGAGTCTCCTGTCTACTCTGTGAAAACTTGTTTCTCCTACGCAGTCTTATGGACTACTAGTGAAGATACAAAAGTGTGAAAGAGAGAAATTCTTTGTGCAAGATGAACCGATATCACTAAAGGAATTAGTCATTATAAAAATGTGTTGCCCCCAAGTTATTAACCACATCAATTCATCAAGCATTCTCATTAATTTAAAAATGGCCTGAATATAACACTAACAATAAGCCATCACTGAGCAACCATTTCACTGTGACAATTCTGGTATTATTCACTAAGTGGTATAGCAAACCTAAAATCTAGTAGTCTAAATCTAGATGCTATACTCTTTGCCTCTATGTAATGTAGATTTTTTGTAAGAATGTTCATACTGTAGTAGCTTACGTTCCAATTACTATGCATTCAAGTATAGAAAGTAGATACTTAGAAGTTATAACTATGAAAGCCTGATTAATATAGACATGAACTTAACAGCAGTAATATCCATAATAGCTGATAAGTATTGAATAGTTAAAAATTGTCAACTAGCCCAGCAGGTGTGGCTTTGTGGTTGAGCATCTACCTATGAACCAGGAGGTCACAGTTCGATTCCTGGTCAGGGCACATGCCCAGGCTGAGGGCTTGATCCCCAGTAGGGGGTGTGCAGGAGGCAGCCAATTGATGATTCTCTCTGTTGACAAAATGACCACATGCTAACCTGACAAGTTCAGGAAAGGCCTGCATGACAGTCTTGCAAACTCAAAGACCTAAAATTACCACAAAGGATTGTCTTAAATTAAACTTTAACTAAAAGCAGTTATGGTGGGTAGTCACCTCCTAGCCTGGTATCTTCCCTGACAAGGTCAACCTTTACCTGAACTGAACCTATATGTCTTTTTGCATCTATGATAGCATATCCTTCAAATGTCTGGATAACTTGTAACTTCCCTTTTTCTGGAC